TATGTATAGCACTTACCACCTACATATTCCCATAAGTGAATTTTTTGCCATATGCCATAAATATGCACTTCACACATCAGTTGGGATTTATTAAGTTAGCATTTTCGCACATTACCATAAAAATTTTCACTTTGCAGTTACTAAAAAAATACATTAAAAAAAAAAATATTTTTAATTAAATAAATTCTTTGTTTTTGCCATTCATAAATTTCCCAACAAATTTTTCACATTTATATAAATTTTTATTTACTTGCAGGTCACCGTCAAAGTGCTGGACAAAAACGATAGTCCGCCTGTGTTTCGTGACACTCCGCTCGTTTTTAATGTCAGCGAAGATTCAAGCGCCGGCCATCATGTTGCTACAATACGCGCCACTGATCCCGACACTCTGGGCTCGCTCACCTTCAGCTTGATTGGCGGTGGTGATGATAAGTTTCTGCTGGAACCTGAGACGGGTCGGTTGCGCTTGAAAGATGCACTCGATCGTGAGTTGAAGGATAAATATGTGCTGGAGTTGCGTGTAGCTGATGGAGTGCAAAGCACCGATACGACAGCGGAAATTTTGGTAAGTCGAATTAAAGTGCAAGCACAAATAGCTATTAACAAATGAAGTTTAAGTATTTTAGAAGTAGTTTATCTTTTCATTATAATACTTCTGCGGCTAAGATAGTTTCAAGTATTTAATGAGACACTTAAAATACAGTATCCAAGATAGTTTGAAAGATTTTGTTTATGCTGGCACCAAATTTTTTCTAAAAAAGCTCCCTTTGCCACTTTAATGGTGAAAAGCTCTTCTGCCCGAAAGTCCTTGAGCATCTTCCAAATGGAGATATATGTATATTATTTTGTCCGCGCTTCGCAATGGTCGAGTGAACAAAGCACTGACCTGCCGTGTGAGAGTTCCGAGGTTCGAGTCCTCGCGCAGCGGATTTTTTCTTTTTCTTAATTTAATTTTTTGGCCTCTTTTATGCAGTTTTCTCTCGATTTTTAGATTTAATTGTTTTAAAAATAAAAATATATTTTTTTAAATCATTTAATTTTTAGACTCTTATTTTATGCATCACTTTTCTTTTTCATTTAATTTTTTTTTTAGTTCTAGATTTTACTGTTTTAATGGGAAACATGTTTCTTTAGTTTCGTTTAATTTTTAGGAACCTATTTTTTTTCTTTTTTAATTTCCATTTTTGTTTATTTAAGTTTTAGATTTTGTTGTGTTGACAAATGTTTGTTTTTAATTTCATTTTATTTAATTTTTCTATCTTTTTTCAATTTAATTTTTCTATCGTTTTTCAATCTAATTTTTTTTAATTGAATTTTCTTTTAGGTTTAGATTTTATTTAATTTTCAAGGAAAAATATTTTTTTATTTCATTAATTTTCAAAAATTTATTCAATCAATGTAATTTTTCTCTATTTAAATATTTTTATTTTTAAAAGAATATTTTTTTTTGCTTTTTTTATTTAGTTTTCTTTTCATTTTTAGATATTATGGTTTTAAAAGGAAAACATTTTATTTTAAATGCTTTAAATTTTCAGAAACTTATTTTGTTTATTTTTTTCTCTTATTTTAAACTATTTTTTTAACGTATATTTCTTCTTATTTTTAGTGTTATTTCTTTAAAGGAAAAATATTTTTTAATTTAATGTAATTTTTTTTTAATCTTATTGCTAAAAGACAAACAGAATAACGCTAAGAGCTCCTCGTTAGCAGATCTTTCAATTAGCCTTTCAAGTGCGCACATTAATATTGGTGTGCACACTTGAATGCATCTACTGAGTTTGTTCTACTAAAGCGCCTATTTGCTCGCTGATCAGCTCATCAATAAGCTCTGCGTGGGCGAGGCCCAACAATCAAACTGATATTAGATCTTTGCAATCAAAAATTACAACCTTTAAGGAAACTAAAAGCTTTAACTAAAGTCTATAGAACTTTTGAAAATTGATAAAAAGCCAAGGCATGAAATTATTCTACACGGTTTACCGTGTGATCGGGAGCGTAGTGTCTGGAACGGAACTTTTGTAAGGCGGAAGAATATACAATGAAAATAGCTGCCGCTTCGGCAAATCTTCCTGGAAGCGGGCTTAATAATTTCGACTGAAAAGCAGTCAAAACCCACCTCGAAAGAAAACCGAAAGGTCAAAAAAAAAAACTCTAAAAGTCCCGAATAATTCAGAACCTTGGCGAAAAAGTTTCAAGAAAAGGCAGAAAAAGTCTAGTAAATTAAAGCGATGCCGAAAAATCCAAGGAGAGTTCCGGGTGTATCTAGAAAGCCCTGAAAAATCACACTAAGTTTTTGATACATCACCAAAAAGCTAAAACTATATTTTTTTTGTAATTTGAGCTATTAAATAAAATTAAAAGGCAGTTTTTTAAATGAAAATTTGCAAGTTCTTCGGCGAAAAAATTTTTTTGTTTTAACCTATTAAATATATTTGTACATTTAAATTAAATTAATAAATGTACCTTACATTAAAAGGTCCTGGGAGTATTTTTCTTATATGCGAAGTAAAACAAAAAAAAAAAAAACGGAACAAAAAAACGACCATTAGAGAATTTTTTTTTATTACTTCGATTTTAAGAAAATTATCAAGAAGTATCTTTCAGAAGTAGATATATGTAAATTGTCCATAACTTTATGGTCAAGAGATAGCAGCTTGTAATAACAACAAGTCAGCAACACAAACTTCCCAGTTCCTCGTTACTAAATATTTCCACAATACAGTCAGTGCACTCCATCGTTTTGCCTTTGAGTAAGCAATTTCAATCAGGAACGCAAAGTTTTTCCAAGGATCTGAAATTTTCGGAAGATGCTACATATGCAAAATTCCGTCTACTGTTCGAAACACAAAATAAAATAAAACCAGAACTTTAGCAACGATTCGTATGAATAAATATATTTTCCGCCAGTTTCCAAGGCAATAAAAAAACTCGTATAATTTTCGTCACGAAATTGATATCATAAATTTTGTGTTCCTAATTCAGCTTTCGTCACTCGAAAATTTTACCTAAAATAGGTGTTTTATTAGAAATAACTAACAATAAAATAAAGAAAGCCATTTCTAGAATATCTACAGCCAGAGGTTTCCAAGTCAGCTCATTTCTCACAGTGCATTCGCGTAGATTTTCGTGTTCGATATTTGTTACACCTCAATTTCTTGAACCCTTTTTTGCTTCTTTTTCACTTCCTTTACCATTTTATTGCACATACATATTTTACGCTGGCACTTTTTTCGATTTGTATCTTAAACTTTTATTTTATTTTATACTTTTTTGTTTTTTTTTTTTCATACATATTTTACTTTTCTTTGAGGGGGTAATTTGATGCCTCGCAACGTGTTAAATAAAAACGCCTCAATGATTACTTCAATGCGCTTCCCTTTTACTTAACGCCAAGGCACGAATGCACACAGCTAAAAATGCATACATACAAAGCAATGCACACAGATCACTTGTATTGTATAATACTTATATGTGGACGCCAACAAAATGTTTACAAAAAAAAAGAAAAAAATCTTAAGCGAAGTTGAAACTTGTGGAGCAGAAATAAGAAGACAAGGCGTCAAAATTGCGTAAAGCAAAATATCTGATACTTGCCTCTTGGCGGTGAGCTTGGACCACTGCGCCTTGCTTGGCTGCAAAACAGTGCCTGCGAGCGAGAGAGAGAGAGAGAGAGAGAGAGAGATAGAGCGCCACTGAGGGCGGTAAAACGGCAATAGCAGTGGCATGCCACAATTTATTTGTTGTAGTTATTTATATGTACTTATAGAACTTGAGATTTCTTTGAAAACAACGCAACAAGGCTAACAAAAAATTTAGTTTTCGGATAAAATCAGAATATGGATTACAAAATGCCAACAACAACAACAACAACAAGGGTTAGACCAAAGCTGAGCTAAAAGCGAAAGGACTAGGGTATAAGAAAAACGAGAGCACAACAATAAAAACACAACAACAAAAAGCACAACAGCAACTGCAAGTATGTATGAACGATATCGGCGCTTCCAAGAAATTGTTAGCGGACTTCATATTTGTTGTTGCTTTTCTTATATTGTCCACTTCGTTTTGTTGTTGTGTGCACTGCGATTTTTCGTTGGTACCTATTATTTTTTATTTTTATTACTCTTCTTATTGTTGTTGTTGTTGTTGTTGTGTCCAATGTCGTCCTTATTGTGTTTTGCGCCAATGTGCCAAATAAAGTTCTATATTCCACTCGCCTCACCTCACCTCACCCCGCCGCCACGCAATCGCTTAAGCATTTATTTCCCTCTTTCCTCTGCCACACACGCATTACTATCTTCCACTGTCTCATCGGCTTAATCCTGCACTTCTTCATTCGTCTCCTTAAACACCTTTCTATAGTTTGCTTTACTTCGGCATATTATTGAGACTGCTACCTTTTTCTCATAATTTTTTGAACTTTTCTTACGCTTTTTTGTTTTTGTTGTTGCTCTCGTCGTCGTCGTCGTCGTTGCATATGAAATCCTTTTCGAGCAAAGTTCCATTGCAGTTGTTACTGGCATTGTTTCGTATTTATATTTCATTTTATTATTTTGTTGTTGCGTGAATTTGAAGTGATGCCTAGTGAAGTGTTTATAACATGTCCACTTTGGGATATCGTCTTCATGTTACACCTACCGGACAGTGCGGCGAAATGTTCATGGAAGCATGCATGGCATGGCATATTGGCACGCTGTGATGCTTACATATACATATATACACTCACAGCAAAAAGTATTTGCACAGAGAATTTTTCACAATATATGCAAAAAAAATTTATATTTTTTCGGCTAATTTTTTATGATAATATGGTTCATACTACAACAAAAAAAGAAGCAGAAAAAAACAAAAAAACAAAATAAAATATAATTTCTATACTTTGTGCAAAGTTAAGAAAAATTCAAAAAAATTTCATGCAAATTTTTAGTCAGATTTTTTAGAATTTTTTTTGAGTATGCAGTTTTATAGCCTTTTAAATCTTATGACAGACTAAAGTGCAAGTTTCTGCCAATTTTTATGCGCATTTTCTTACATACAAAAAAATCTAAAACACTTTGTATGGAAAAATATGCAAAACACTTTCAACAAAGAAATTCTCAAAAATCAGGGCAAAAAAACTGCGAACTCAAAAAATTTTAAAAAACTTATTTAAAAATTTGAAAATTTGCATGAAAATTTATTGAATTTTCCTAATGAAATCTACACAAAGTTTACCAATTATATTTTAATGTGTTTTTTTTGTTGTAGTAGCATGAACTATATATTCATAAAATATACGAAAAATAAAGCACAAATTTTGAAAAAAATATTGTGACAAATTTTTTGTGCAAATACTTTTTGCCGTGAGTGTACATATGTACACTCAGGTGGATACATACCTACATACACGTATGTACATACATATATGCAAGTCACAGTTTCGATTTAGCGTGAAATAACTGGTAATTTAAAATCACTTTGTTGGCGGTCACAAACAAGACGTAGGAGGAGAGCCATATGCTTCGTTAGGCGCTATTCTGCTGACTAAACTTGCAAATAAGATAAGTATGTATGTCGGTTCACTTGGCG